TATATATATACGTATATATATATATATATATATATATACTATATATATATATATATATATATATATATATATATATATATATATATATATATATATATATATATATATATATATATATATATATATATATATATATATATATATGTAAATATTGCTATACTTGCATGACTCTTACTATATGTACACCCGCTATCTGTTACATGTAGGCGAATGGTTCAGGCACATGGTGTGATACCAATTGCGTCACTACAGTCACACGCGGTGAATTGCACTTTCGAGATCTTATACGTGTTACACGCTCCCTACCATCTCATACTGGTACTTATTATGCATACGTACAGACAGTGCATTTGAATCTTTTAGATCGTAAGGCGTAAGCGCGTTCGTGTGACTCGCATATGTATAGGTAAACAACTAAACATATATTTAGTGGGGTATGTCACCGCCTTGACTAATAAGTATTTACGTAAAGCACGTTGACGATGAAAGATTGCTAAAAAAAAAAGTAAAACTCTAAAACCAATGAATATTTTATTTTGATTGGTTATTGGAATCTGTGGCAAACTCAATATGAGTTATGTTTTATTTTCACTGAATACGAACTTTTGCGAAGCTTGAATCTTTTATCACGCGACCGGAATTTGTTTGCTGGATATTTACCCCATTTGTAGGCCCTATTGATAAATATAAATGGCACTATAAATATTTGCTTTCTGTCTCTATGGCGTCCGAGTTGTTATATATATCAAATTGTGTAAAAATTTTCAAAACAAAATGAACCTATGCGGAGAGACGAAGCTCAATAAATATAGAGAATCGAAGCCATCAAGATGGCAATGACATAGCTGATTCTTTCTAAATTATACATCGAAGGCTTTGTTTGGCTGATTAGCTGTTCTACTTGTTATTTCTTAGGGGGCTACAATGACAGCCACATAGTGAGGACCTAAAAAAACATTTCTCTTGGGCCTGCAGATGGAGACTTGGGAACATAGCCCTTGTCGTCAAATCGAATAAACACCTGTGGTTAATTTAGTAACTCTCTCTCTATTGCCAATCTGAAGCCAACACTCACTTTGTGGTAATTGAAGGACGTATTTATCACAGATCCCTCATAGTGTAGCAACAGTTATTGGTGAGTGAAAGTATAAGCCATTCAGGCTGGCGGTTCTACTTGTACTGTGCCAAACAACTCTGAGTCTCTGACACCTTCCTGTGATGTGCAGGGCCAACAGCCCCAACCTCGCTCTACCGGATAGGGTCCCGATATCCGAGTACACACCCAATAAGGCTATGTATTTATTATAGAGTGAAGCCATTTGAGTTCCTCCTAAGAGTATTTATAAAATCCCTAGAATATTTACTTCCCCCTCATGAAGACGTATCATGCAGGCTCCTAACACTGATTACACTACCTTACATACTTTAGGCTCCTATGAATGAATTGTCAGATTCATAACAGTTTCTATATACTCTGTTCATTCCCAAGCGTTGGGTCGGGAAAATGTAACTCAGCACAAGCCAAGCGGTGTATAGTGTATATCTTTCCGGTATTTTCATTTTGGTTCTCGTTCTGCCGGATATATATATATATACATACACATATGTGTACATTTGCATATATAATTCAATAATTATGAAGGCATATATGAATTTAGGTATGTGTTAGTATATATGTACATACACACACATATATATACAATATGCAAACATATATAATATATATATACATATATTTGTATATCTTTATAGCTATAGAAGTATATGCCTTTATAGTTATATATATCTATATACACACAAACAAATATATATATGTGTTTTGACGTAAATAATCAGTATACTCTTTTGTAGTCCTAAAAAAAAGACATACATATACTACATGTACGGAGAGCTTCAGAGTCACGCTCACAACCTAATAGTCCCTACGACCTGTTGGGACGAAATGCCGTTAATTGCAACACCCGAGATATAATATGCAACATACATGAAAACCTAAAATCCCCGCCTGATGTGAAGAAGTAGTTCGAATCTGATGTGAAGAAGTCGTCTTTTCATTTTTCACTCGGACTCATCGGCGTCTTGCATAAACATTCCATAATGAAATCACCATGGGTCACAACAAGCTCGCCCTAAATTCCGCGAATCTTTACATTTCGGCTTTGATTGTAACGAGTAGTTGGTATGTATCTTGCCTTCAATACTCCGCCTGCAAACATTCCATATGCGATGACTATAATCGCCATACGTATGCGACAGATGAATCATGCGTTGATTTTTAGGTCATTCCCACAAGTACGTTGCTGAGTGTAAATATCCAAGTCGCTAGAATGCACCTAGGACGGGTGGGGTGGCAAGAGATCACTGTTGACGTCTGGTTGTGACGTGCTCCTGATGTATTACGACGTTCTGTGTACGGACTTCTTTCGACTACTACAATCTGGCTATAACCCGACAAACTTGCGGCTTACACATATTAGTATCAAATACACACAAATAGCTTCGAGAAGCTGCCGATAGTTTGATGTGGGACCAAACTACGATTTAATCGCCCGAAGTTATTGAGTCGGTATTTCTGCCTTGCTAGGGTTCAGACTCGGCACTCATTCTAAACTCCCCTCACAGTTCTGCAAGCTAGCGTACACTTTCCTCAGTGAATTGATCGATTACTTTGCTATGATATGTACGATATAACGGATACGTTCATGCAGAACACGGTAGAAACAAACACACCATTGCTACATATGCAGAATACTTGCGATATGTAACAAGTACTTCACATTTCCATATCAATAGCACACAAGACATTCATCTGTCCACTAGCCAAAACAATATAATCACAAACCGGTGCCCTGACGATGTTAATTCGCTGTCACGTGGGCAGAAAGCCACAACACGTACAAAATCCATATGTACGCAAACGATACAACACACAAAATAAAAAATCGCTATATATACGACATACTTTTACTAATGTGGCTTCTGTTCAGAAAAAGGGCCACAATACTACTGGCATACTTGCATTCAACATAGTGTATTATACACAGATATATGAATGGAAAATGCCTGAGCATATCATACAAGTGATACATACACTCGAAGGGAACACCTGTACGTGAAGTTTATTGCGACACTGCTGTTCGAACATCTATATCCGGTTGTTGGCATTTGTCAGCAACACTCCAACGAGACCTCGAGCCATTGATGCAAACAATTTCACGGTGCATTTAGATGATACCGATCTGTAGTACAAAATATTTAAAAAAAATAGATAGAAGTAAGTTATTTACCAGTAAACACGCGGTGATTTTATACATTTGACAATGCATATAGTACATATACTTGTAAATATATATACACTAGATATTTATACATAGTCCAGCACCAAGAGCGACAAATCGAACACTAGATTTGGGACCGTATAATAAGTCGTGGACAAATACGATGATAACATACGCCTTTTCGATGAGCAGCTCATTAAAGCATCTAAGATTATCAGTTATATAGAACTGAGAAACCACAGCAAAAATTAAAATCATAGCCCGCTCGTACATGGTCTTAGTCACCACTGATCTTTTTGCACGCCCCCAGAAATACAGCCATATATGTCACCCAATCAGTAGCCGGCTATCCAACGACCACAGTCGCATACCTTGTTTGCTAGCTCAAGTGCATCTGAGTCCTGTGAAAGCTTGACATACGCCTTCTTCTGTCCATCGGGACGGATTAATGTATTAATGCGCGCGGAATCAATGTCGTACATCTCCTTAACGGCAAGCTTGATCTGGTGCTTGTTGGCCAGCTTGTTTACTAGGAATACCAGGGTGTTGTTCTCCTCGATCTTCTTCATAGCAGACTCGGTGTTCAGGGGACACTTGATCACGGAGAACTTGTCCAGACGCTCGCGACGGGGCGCAGATTTACGGGGGAATCTATACAAACAGTTAGGGTAGAACAGGCACTTGTAAGCAGCTGGTACATGGACATTAAAATAGGATATATGCATTGGCAATTCCGAGCGTGACAGTGACTACATCATACATATGCGTGTATATCATCTCATTATATGTACGCCTACGACTAATATTCGGTGTAATATTTATATAGCTGTTCATAACAATCGACGATTAAATTCAAAGTACACATATACAGATGAAAACTTGTATCAGTATATGAGAGTATATGAGAACGGGCAGCAGCTCATTAAAGCATCTAATATTTTCAGTTATGTACAACTGAGAAACCACAGCAAAAAGTAAAATCATTGCCCGCTTGCCCGTGTCCATTTTAACTGATATTGATATGTCCGCTATTTATAACACTAACTAACTGTTCAATTCAAAGTTGATATTTATAGAATAGCACTAAGCAACTCCCATGACTTGAACAGTATTTTCACATGAGTGGCTCTATGGCCCGAGGTATGCTTTTCAGAGATGTTTCGAGAAAAAAAACTGTCCTTTCTCCGTTCATGCGAAATCAGACACAAGCCCCTACATATAATGCACATTATACAATTGCTCTCTACAATATAGGTAAATCCTCTACTAAATATATAAACGAATGCATTAACCATACACACCTGGGAGCACGAGCCTGGTTTAGAGTCTTCGTTCGGTGGAAGGTCACTGTGTGACGAACCTGACGAAGAGCCTTGCTCTGGGTTCCCTTGACGGAAGCCTTCTTAGCGGCGTTAGCCTGACCCTTAACTAGACATCAAATAAACGATAATATGATATCGAAGTCAGTTTCTGTGTGTATATATGTAAGCACAATTGAATAATATATCCGCATATATGTCTGTCACGTCCTTGCAATAAATCTAAAAGCTCTTGTATGATTATTTGGTGTAAAGATTGCAGTGCGTGTTCATTGGGAGTGTTCGTTTTGATAATACTTCTGATACTGTTCTCATTCGATTTTTATATTCACGACTGATTGTATTGAACAGCCGTGTCATAAAATACACCATCACCCGATGTCTTATTACAGCATCTGCATTTCCCACTACTGCTTCAAAATATAGATCCGTTACGCGCTCAAATTTGACTGTCAAGGGTTTACCAAGCACGTATCATCCTGGGGGCATGCGTCATGCATGCCGGTATATGAATTTGTTCACGTTCGCACATGTATAATATGGTTTACATGTTTTTTTCAATATTCACATATCTGAATATGAATTTCTATGCTGTTGGTTGCCCTCTGTGTATTGTGTTTGGTTGTGGATATGAAACGGCATAGATACACGCCCCGCCCCCCCCCTCCCACCTACGTACTCATTGATCGTTGAATGAACGACCCAATACTTCAGATTACAGTCCTTTTCTGCATCACTGAGACGCAACTGTACTCGCGAATTTGCAATATCATGTTTCCTGTTAGCAGTACTCTTTCGAGCCTGTCTTACTGCTGTATATATCCTACTTACTACACAGATAAACACACACTACACCATAGCTAAGCCTATTTTCCACACACCTCCAGCCATTATTTCTTCGGACAGTGAAAGGTATGGGAAAAAGAACCTCTATATTGCCGCGTGTTTCGTATATGTGTCTGATTATTCTTCGAATATTCTGAAGTTTCAAAAATAAGTTCCAAAATCCTAATGGGTGACCCAAAATTCACAGTACAGTACCTACTCTCACCCTATTGTACTGTGCCACATGTGTACCTGGACATTTTTTTTTGGAAAACAATATAACTTCCTGGAGAAACCGAAGAAAAACTCGGAAAAACCTGGGTTTGAATTGAACATGAGGGGTTTCTCTGACTCTTTGGATGGGGTTTTAGAAAACCCTAATCTAACGTTTCGGCAGGCGAAGCATAATTACAAAATAAAATAAAGCATACGAAGTGTAAATACATGATTTTGAACAGTCTACTTTTCAGGTACATCTCGCCCCCACTATGAGAGTAGCTCGCTCTATTAACGATACGCGCACACACTTGTGTATACATATATATAAGGATGGCCCCAATGATACGGCATTTGAAAGGGCTATATTCACCTAGAAGGAATACACTATTTATTCAACTCAAATCGAGTGCAATCGAAGCAGCATATCGGTGACCAAAACCTGTCGGCGAATGTGGTATGAAGAGAGTCATTGATCCTTTCAATATGTTCCACGCCGTACATTGTTGTTCACATCTATCTCCCTTGTTATATGCTCTCTAACAATCCAACTGCAGCATACAATATCATCAGAGATTTATGCATACATTCATCGAGCCATGCATATCTTTAGATTTAATATATCATAAATTATGATATAAACGAATACACACACACAATAATATATATATGTATATATATATATATATATTATTCTTATGCTTCGTACACACACACACGTATATATATATATAAGTGTA